ATACTGGGCAGGGAATTTCAAGTCAAGCAAAGCCTCTTCTAGAAAGGAGAGATTTTTTGCAAATATATAAGATATTGTCAAAAATACAGGGAACTGACATAAAGGGCTTCCACAAACTGAGTTGTAAAACTTTTGATATTAAGAGGAGAACAATAAGTACGGCTCACTAAAATAAGTCCTGAAACATGCACAGGGACTTCACTTTGGAGACTAAGGTGTGCCTGACCCAAGCCTTCATAATTTTATTGCCTCCTATTCATGTGAGAGTTGGATATTGAATAAGGAAGACCGAAGAAGAATGGATGCTTTTGAATGAAGGCGCTGGCAAAGAATATCAGAAGTACCTGGACTGCCAAAAGAACAAACAAATCGGTCTTGGAAGAAGGCCAGCCAGAATATCCCCTTGAGGCAAGGATGGTGAGACTCTGTTGCCTGTACTTTGGGCAGGTTGTCAGGAGAGACGGGTCCTGGAGAAGGACACCGTGCCTGGTGAAGCAGAGGGGTTGGGAAAAAGAGGAGGGCCCCTGACCAGATGGACCGACACAGTGGCTCACAGGTAGGGATGGTGGTGAGGATGGTGTAGAACGGGGCGGTGCTCGTGCTATTGTGAACAGGGGCTATGACAATAAGTCATTGCATGAGAATTGGGCACATCTAATTTTTACTTCCAGCTGAACATGCAAAATTGATTTCCAACCGATTTAAAGTGGAAGAGAATTTGACTAATTCTAAAACTAAGTTGGAACACTTAGGAGGACTCAGCTCACACGCGTGTATCACTGCATGGTTTCCCAGCATTCTTCAGTGACTCTGGGAAAGCATGGTGCCCTTGTAAATTTCCCTAGGCAGGCAGGCAGTGTGCTTACAAAAATGGGAATTGAATTTATTCAGTTTATTAATGCCAGTCCAAATGGTTCTGGAAATTTAATTGACTGACATTCCAAATTAGGACTGATAATTTAAGGGCATTTAGTACGTTCAGTTCAAATTAAGGTAATTGTTATTTGAATAGTTACAAATAGAATACCAGGACTGACAATTTGAAGTTGAAGGTTTCATGAAATGGAAATCAGAGTTTTATCTTTCAGTGTTGTTAATTTGGATATTAATTTAAAACCATGGTGACCATCAATATTTCTATGTACAAAGGTTCCACTGAGACAAAAGAAGCCCACACTGACCCAGTGTGTTTCCTCTCTTAAAGGTCTTCACCAACACACCGTCTCTCATCTGAAGTACCTCCCCTTCCCCATGAGTCACAATCAACTTGACTAAACTCACAAAAACAAACCCACAGCCATCAAGTCAATTCCAACTCATCGCGAACCTGTAACACAAAGTAGAACTGCCCCCTTTGGGTTTCCAAGACTTTTAAATCTTCATTGGATAAAGATAGCCTCATCTTTCTCCTTCAGGGAGACAAGTGGGTTCAAACCACTGACCTCACAGCTAGCAGCTCAGAGGGTAGCCCTCTTGACAGCAACTGGCTTTTCTCTCCCACTTCCATTCGCACCCCAACTTGTTTTCTCCTCCAGTACCCTATACATTTCCTTCCTAATCCCACAAGTTAGAAGTATGCATTCATTAGTGAATTAGGGATTCTTCAAGTGTTCCCCCGTGTTCTTTGAAAACAGGAACTGTTGCTATAGATTGAACAGGTAATGTGATTCAAGTAAATGTAACTATGGATGTAATAACCTGGTACTAGTCGGCAATGTGGATGGAAATAGAAATGCTTTTCCTGCCACTTCAAGAAAATAATAACAACAGTTGCTAGAATCTACTGAGATAGGTATTGATGGAGACTATTGTCTCCATTTCCCAAAATTCCAGAGGCTTCAGAAACATTGGATAACTTCTCCTAGATCCACAGAGCTAATCAGGGTTGGTGCCAAAATTTGAGCCCAGATCTCTCGGATTGCTAAGCCCGGTGTTTGATGTATAGCATTAATTTCTGTAGAGTCATTAAAACAGTGCCTGGTGCATAGTTAATGGCCAATAAACTCTAGTGATTGATATGGCTTTCAGTCCAATGCTTACCTGACAGTGCCACAAGGGTTTTTATTTTAGTAAGGATAGTGACTATATCTTAGAAACCTTTTAAAGAAGTAAATAGCAAGAATATTACACATATCAGACTTCTGGTAATTGGAGTCATTGAAGAGAAAGACTTTCAAGTAGATGCATTCTTACTAAGTTAGTTAGATTAGGCCTGGACTCATGATAACAATTACTTCATATTCTTGATTTTAGATTATTTGGAATTAAATAATTTGATTCTGGGGATAGAATAAGAGCATAAATCAATAGCCAAGGAAATCAAATGGTTTTTCTAACCCCACCCACTGCCCTTGAGTTGATTGACTCATCATGGCCCTACAGGAAAGAGCAACACTGCCTCATAGGGTTAGTGAAGATGTAAATCTTCCCAGAGGTAGCTGGCTACATCTTTCTCTTATGGAGTGGCTGGTGAGTTTGAACCTCCCAATCTTTCAATTAGCAGCCCAATGCTTAATCCACTGCACCATTAGGGCTTCTGTACTATCCCCAGAAACAAATGATTTAACTCAAAATAATCCAATATCAATGAGATAGTTTATTGTGCCAGCCTGGCTGATAAACGCAGGTGGGATTGACTGAGGGGCGGAGAGATGGATGGCTTGGTGAGCCTTGCCTTTCTCGTCTCTCGCTCTGTGATCTTCGGACCAGTGTGCGGCTGCCTTGCTTGTTCTGAGCCTCAATTTAAAGGCTACACCGCCTGTGGGACACCTAGCCTGTGGACTGTGTTGCTGTAAGTTGAGGTCCCTTTAAGACTTCTCTGGAGCTGGGGACTGGCGGTTGGTGACCTGCCTTGTGATTGGCTGCTGTGCTGACATAGCCTAGCTCTCTCTACAAAGAGAGGAAGATCTGGCATCAGACAGAGACTTGAAGGACTGCTAGTCTCTCAACTTTCTCTCACGGACGTGAGTTGCACTAAGCCATTTATAGTGCTTTCTAATTTAACTGTTTATTTCTTGTATTGTATATTTATCTGTATATGATTTAACAGTTCATTTCTCGTTATATATCTAATTATCTTTATAAATAAATATATTATCAGGAATTTTGTTTTATCTCTCTAGAGAACCCTGTCTAACACAATCAACAATATGAACAAACTGTTATCACAAGAACCCAAGTATAATGTAAATTAATTAACAATGAAAGGAAAGAAAGTAACATGGGTTTTCTTTGCTCATACTTAGGTACTGTGGAAGGGCCATTCACATAGGAGACCGGCTCCAGACAGTTTGTGGAAAATGGAAAGGAGCGATAATCGATATTTTTTCCTTGAACTTTTTGAAACCTCCTGGTAAGTCTCTTTTCATCTCCTCGGGTATTCATTCGTATGGAGGTAATGATATGGTTGACAATCATTCTTAACAAAATGTCATCTCAAACTTTCCCAAGTCTGGTTTTCAAGAGGTCCTATTTTTGTTGGGTACCCCTAGAAGTGATGGTCGTGGATCTGATTCCCAACGACAAATGGGTTCAACCACCAGAGGGCTTTGTTTTACCATGGAGACTGGAATCTGGGGATGGAGATAAGTGATCGGGATCAACCGAGGCTGACTGAGGGAGGGAGGGAGGGAGAACAGGGAAGGGACCATGTGTGGGAACTAAATATCCAACGGAGAAGTCTGATGAAGTCACTTAAACAAACAAACTCAAGTTGATGCTGACTCCTAGTGACCCTCTAGGCCAGGGTAGAACTGCCTTTGTGGGTATCCATCACTGGAACTCTTTACAGAATAGAAGCTTTGACTTTCTCCCACAGAGTGATTGGCAGGGTCAAGCTGCTGACCTTGGGATTAGCAGCCCAATGGGTAGCCATCATTTACCATGTATATAGATGAGCTGGATTCTTCACCAATATCTTTGGAATTTGGTTTATTTGGGGAGAGAGATATGCTGACTCTGACCTCCAGATGAACTTAAATCAGTAGCAGAAAGAGCCGTCTCACAGTTACTATCTGGCTCTCTTACTGCCTGTCTTAATACTTTAACACACATCATGTACCACCACCTACTAGAAGCATATGCTAATTGCAAGAGAAGTGTCAGTGTGTGTGGGGGGAGGGGATGTTGAAAGAGGGGTGGTGGTGGATAGGAGATGGGTGCGCTCACATCCCCCAAACTTTTGACTCACTTCAACTATTAGCAATCCTATAGGACAGAATAAAACTGTCCTGTTGGGTTTTCAAGACCACTGTCATTACAGAAGTCAGCCCTCACATATTTCTCCCGAGGAGCAGCTGGTAAGCTCAGGCCTCCAACCTTCCCACTGGAACCGAGTGCTTTAACCACAGAACCACCAGGTCTCCTACATGACTAAATTTATAAAATATGTAGGGACAGTCTTAATTCTGACATGCTCCATCTGTCAACCAATCTGCCAACCTTATTATTTTCCCATGTGCAGAATAAACGGGTAAGTAAGCTACTGCTAAAATCTCCTTCATCTTCCAAATCTATAATTGCTATACAGGAGATTTCTAAGCAGTATCCCATTTCCATCCCGCACTGTTTTCAAAAACCCTGGGCCAAAATATAATAATATGTGCACCTATATATGAAGTCTAATGAACTATTCTTTGAAAATACAATGCCGATGTGCTTGCCTACTGCTCATGATTCATATATCAAACACCCTCTCACTTAACATCTTGAAAATCACTTTGACAGAGGAGACCTTACTGCAGGTGGGGTTAGTAGCTCATGCTGCAGGGAGAGGGAGAAGAGTAATTAGTTCCTGCCATATAACATTGTTTTATGGTCACCCCAAATCAACAGATACTCCTACAAGGGTGATCACTGAACCTTAAGGAAAATTAAAGTCCAGAGGTCTGGGGAAGAACATGTGCTTCTCCAAGAAGGTATTTTACTTCTGCTCGTGAGTAAACCAGGAGGGGCAACCTACAATCGGGAAAATACCTAGCATTCCTTATACAGACTCTCGATGGGCGAATATACCTGGTGTTACACATAGGTACTTTTGACCTAGTTTCTATTCAACCCTTGGTGGGTGGCTCAGGTCATGTGCTATATACAACCAGGAGTTTAGACTCTGTGCTTTCAAGGTGCATAACGTCCTGTATATGCCACACCAGAAGGATCTGATTTGGAAACCTCACTGAGGAACTGGACTTTACCATAAATTCATCTATAAAGGAGCTGAAATACACCCTTGGGCTTACGGCTGAAACACCTAGTGTGAGAAGAAGCAGAGACTCTCCCAAGCTTATGGATTTGGGAGTCATTGACTTTGGATCAAATCTTTTGCTTTGAGGGTGCCCAATTCAATACCACCATATTTTGAATATTTTCATATTCTCTTATTGTTTGTATACTTAGTGTCCAGCCACTTAAGTTTTAAACCTGTACAAGCCAACAATCCATGTATTTTAGTCTAAAAGGCTGTCTTACACATGCGCTTTCCTTTTAGCACAATATTTCAAATTCTATTATCACTGGCTAAATTAATAATGCTTTATATATTACTAGAGTTACCATATGCCCCATGGGGAGGACTTATAATGTTCCTCAATAAAATGATGATGTCTCTAAAGTGGACCAGGTATATGTAAATTATAGATATATCAATGAATTTTGAGCTGACAGTTCATTGTAGTCCTAAGCTAAGAATGATTAGTTCTTAAGATGTGACCCTACTCAGTACTTGCTCTCATAAAAAGACCACTGATGATATGGGTGCTATAGCAAAGTGTGGTGAAGAAATCAGACAGTGCCTGGCTATCAGAAAGAATAGTGTCTGGGATACAAAATGCTTGTCTTCAAACAAGCAAGGATCTAAGTGAGGTGTCAGCTAAGTACACATGGGAGAAGCACCTTGGCCTCCTTTGTGATCCAAGGACGGTAAATAATAAAATCCAAGATGAGAGGAGGGAATGGTATCAGAGCTTAAATTCTGAGCACCTGGTTTGCAGAAGGTTGTGAATAAAAAGAAAACCCAAAATCCATTTCCAGGGTCCTCATGTAGATTAAGCCTCTAGGGAATACCCTCTGACCGCTGACCAGAGATATTAATAGCCTTGCTGGCAGACAGAGCACACTGCAAAGTGAACTAATAAATGCAAATGTGGTTAGATTAAAATTTAACACCTTATAATTTATTCACCCTTTTGACCGATCTTAAATTTGTTTCAGTTTTCATTATTTTTTTCAACTGAGGTTTTTCTATGTTTTATTTTGTTATTGTTATTGCGCACCCCCTCACACACACTTTTTGTTTGTATGTTTGTTTTCTTTATAGGAAATCCAGGATAGGTAAATCTATAGAGAC